CCGGGGGCGAGCGGGAAGCGGGGCGGCCGCCGGCGGCTCGGAGCCCCCTGACCGCTCTGCCCCGTCTCCCCAGGGGGAAGGGCGGCCACCAGCCGGAGCCCCGCGGACCCGCGCTGCACGGCGGACCTGGGCGCGCAGTACATCACGCTCAGCCCCGGCTGCGCCCAGCGGCACCGGAGGTAGGAAGGAGCGGGCGGGGTCCTGCCCTGCCCTGCCCTCTGATGGGCTCTTGTATTTAATATGTATAGAGCTACCTTTCCTGGGAGAGCCATCTGATTTATTGTACTGAGGACCAGCTTGACTTGGCACCTAGTCCAGGGAACGTACTAGTGTAAACATTTCCTTCCATCTTCAGTTTACTAGGAGACCTTGCCCTGTCCTGACAGGTGAGGCTCTGGCCACAGAAATCCATGCATTTGTTCCAGACTCCTATTAATGCAACTCTTGATATGTTTGGGACATAAAGTCACAACAGTGCAGGGACCCAACCTCAGTATCTGAAATGTGGGCTGATTGTCATGAGTATACTCCATGTGTGCTGTCCACACTCCATTCCCTGGCTCCTAGTCTGCTTCTGTTACCAATTCAAGGCCTTGGTTTTGAGTTTTCTTGCTATCAAGCAAGGAAGTTCCTGGTATGACTTCTCTGACCCTTTTAACAGCTGGGACAATCAGCTCAGAAAGACTAGGACAATGATTGGGGCAGCAGAAGTAAATCATTTTCAGTCAAACAGGTTAAGTGTGGAACAAATTTCCAGTGCAGATTAGATTAATCCCCAGTTGGATTGCCTTCTGTACATACTGTGATACATCTTCTTTCTGATCAGTTTTAGAAGGTAAATATGGACCACATGCCCTGTCCTGAATAGAGCTGCCTATGAGAGAGGCATGCAACAGAACAAAAGTCACACAAAATCCACTCAGATCCTTGTTATGGAGCTCTAACATATATGGGAAGTATTTAACATCAACCATCCTTATAATATGCTCTGCTTCTGCTCAGTGCTTGATTTCCAGTTACACAAAGTTTTTGTTTCTGGCTATGGAAGCTGTGAAATGCTGGCCTTTAAGTTTTAGGGTTGTTGGCTGTAGCCATGTTAGTCTAAGGACATAGGCAGACAAGTTTCTTTGGGTAGATGTGATATCTTTTATTAGACCAACCAAATAGTTGGAAAAAGTCTTCTCTGCAAGCTTTCGGACACAAACACCTGTCTTCAGGCATAGGTTTTTAAGTTTGAAATTTCTGTATCCATAAAAGCTGTCACTTACAAGAACTTGAGAAAGTCCACATTTGGGGTATGAGAAGAAATGTCAATCTTTTAAAAACATTTGGGTGTTTTGAAGCTACTTGTAGCTTTGGAATATTATAATTTATTATAATAGCAAACTGGTTTAATCGAAAGACAGCATAATGGTAGTGATAAACCACATTGAGCATTTTTTGTAAGGGCAAAGTTGTATCTTTTAGAGAACACCTATACCCAAGTTCTGACATCATGCTTAGCTTTCAAAATAAAAGAATGTATTTTTCAGTTTAAAAAACCTTAATTTTATCCTCGGGTTATAATACCACTCGAGAGTTTCAGCTGATGTGAATCTTTACAACTAATTCATTATCCAACAAGATTGCTGTGGGGGTTTGGGAGGTGGGTAGATACGTTTGCCTTTCCTTAAAAATAACCAGGCTTTGTAGAAGAGTGAGCAAGTTACCGTAAGTTGGCGGGGGGGGTTACTGGTTAGTAATATGTTAATGTTACAGAGTCTGAAATACTAGAGTGAAGTCAGGTTGTGTGAAACTCCTTTTGGATGGGGTGGGATATAAATCAAATAAATAAATTTGAAAGTTATGGCAACCTTCATAACATTAATTCCTCCTATGAAGAATTAATGCTACTGGGAGTTTTTGGAGGTGATTCACATGCATTTTTACTATGTTTTTGTTTGATTTTTAGCTTCTATGATGACCTTCTGGCCCATGGTATTTTGAAACCATTGACTGCACCAATTAAAGGAATGGTGATGAAGGAGGGATCTCTCAATTTTATGACGCCTCAGGGTACTTCGTCAATTGCCAAGCATTATTTGAGAGAGTCAGGTAGTTTTCTGATATCTTTGAATGAAATTAAAGGTTTTAATGGTGTACTTATCTTGAATGGATAGGATTTGATACAGACTCTTTGAATTTGGAAAGGACTAACCATAGTCCTCTTGACTGCAGTGGGTCACTGTAAAGCATTCTTTATTCATATGTTGTAAGAGTTTTCAGGATTGGGGGTGAAGATTGTATTTTATACTCTCTGCTTTATGTAGATCAGATACAGCACTAATTGGATGTTACTCCTGCATTCAGTGGAAATAGGATCATACCCTGTGTGAACAGAGGATTAAGGGGAAATTAACTTGATTAACATAAATCTTGAATAATTGTGTATGGCCAGAATTTGGGATTTTTAAAACTAATATTTTAAAACTTGCTGTTCAGCCTATGATCTGGACTGTATCAGCTGACTAGGGAGTATGTTGCTGAAAGAAAGATTAATGTTGTAAAATTAAGCAATTTCACAATATGTGCCAGGGATATAAAACTACTGAACTAAGCATTTGGGAAAAGCTAGGGAGCAGATCCCTAGTTACTATAAATTGTGACAGCTCCATTGTGTCAGCAGAATTTAACTGTTCTTTTAGAGCAGTTAGTGACTAATTTATTTTTGCATTTTCTGGTATTGTTAATATGAGCTATTTAACTACTTTTTGCATTTTTCAGCAGCTGATTTTTTTCAAACCTTTGATACTAATTATAGTCATTATGTTTTTAAGATATATGAGTGATCTCATGGAGGCAAGCACAACTGTGTTCAAAGAACAGATTATGCTTATGTGCTTATAATGAAGAACATGCATTTCTGTTTGTAGAATCAGGGCTTTGGTTCTGATTCATAATGGAAATTTCTCCCTTACTGTGCATGTTCTCTGTCTGATTCAATATTGCATGTATTTAAGGTTTTTCTTGTTTGAAACAGGTGCAGATGTATTCTATGAGCACCATGTAACACAAATCTACCTCAGAGATGGGAAATGGGAGGTCCATGAGGAAGCGGGATCTTCAGAACTATTTGACATAGTTATTCTCACAATACCTGTCCCACAAATTCTTCAACTTCGGGGCGACATTGTGAACAGTAAGTGGTATTGCCACAAAATAGCAATAAATATTTAAGTTAGAATAATGATTTATATTGTGATATAAAATAGCAAGAAATAATCCCAGAGGCCACTGTCCTTTCCATTTCCAAAAAAAGGGAAAATGTTTGATGGATGTAAGAAAAGGAGTTTTGAATACTTGGGCTAGGGACATAATTTGCACATAAACTGGTTTAAGTGATCAGAAACTTGTGTAAACCTGTAACAGAACAGAAGTTCAGTGAACTTAAACCGCTTTCAAAATGGCCAAAATCAGTTTAAGATAAATCTGGTTGGATGTGGTATCAGACTTAACTGATTGAGGTCAAACCGGTTTATGGAACTCCTGTCCCAGATCTCCTCCTGGTGAAAGTTAATTCACAGCATCCCAGGATGTTTTGCAGCCTGAGCTGTGCTGTCTCCTCCAGTGAGCAAGGTCTGCCTTGCCCCTCTGCTCCCTAGCACTCAGGTGGCTGAGGAAAGGATGCTGAGGGTGGGAGGGGGGAGAACCCATCCCTCTGGCCCAGCACCAGACCCCCAGCTAGGTGCTGCCAGTAGGGGGAGGAGGAAACCAGACCCCCACCCAGGTGCTGCCTGGTTCAACCTATGCAGTTTAAAAAACCTACAAAGACTGAAGCGATTCAGCCTCAGGCTTTTTGACTCTCTGTACTTAGCCATAATGTCTGATTAAGACCTCAAGTTATAGTTTGTAGAAGTATTATCATAACAACAACAATCTAATTTTCTTCAGAAGACCTATCTGCTATCATAGGAAATGAGGATTTTGATCTCCTCTAAAACTTCTGCTTGGATAGTGAAAATAATTGTTGGCGGTAGTAATTTGTTGGTTCAGACACAAAAATAAAAGTAGTTCCTCAACAGTTTTCTGAGATGCTTTTTATTAACTTGCTACATTTCTTAAGGTCTTTGTTTAGCAGTGGGGTAAAGCTTCAGTGATTATTTATATGAAGGGAGGGGTGGGGGGAAATCAGTGAATAAGACCTCAGTAATAACTATGGTTTCAGGAAACCCTGAAGGATTTTCAGTAGTAGTAAAGCCTGTGCAATTCCACAAAAAATATAACTTCTGTGGTAAATCAGGCTGTTGACGTGTTAAGGATCAAGGGTATTCAGAATCTTCAATTCACATGAATTGAACAGCAGCCTGTTTATTTTCTGGGATTAGTCACTAAGGGACATATTGTCTAAATATTCTAAGCCCTCAGTGACCACCTGTTCAGTGCTGTACTCTGATCTTTAATGCACTTACCTGACTCTGATTAGCCTCCTTTGGATTCTCTCTCCTCATTAACAGCCCCCAGACCAGTTGGGAGAAAAGTTCAGAATGAGCTTTAGTCTGATTTTTTTTTTTCCAGAGTCTTATGTACAGTTTATCAGAATAACAGAAGACTAGGTAGTAAAGAAAAGGCAAAGCTGACAATAAGGAACAAGAAAGGAAGGACTGAGGGAGGTAAAACCTTAAATTCAGTTGTTTTATCCTAGGAGAGCAAAAGCAGAGCCTATGTCTGCTGGCAGTAAATGAAAGGAAATATTTTTTATTATAAGTTTTCATTTTATTTCTTGTTTTGTTCCTTCATTCTGGAATAAATAGAGCCTTAGTAACCTTTTCTAGCATTCATTATTTTGTTCTCTGTTGTATTCTCTTATTCTTCTGTGTAACACATTAAATAATTATTGCCACACCCACTTTATATTTGTGTACCTTGTGTACACAAATGATACTCTCTTCCCTTATTAGAGAAGATTTATTTTTCTTCTTTGAATATGAGTGTTTTAATTATATATTTTTATAAGGATTCACTAAAGATATTTAAAACATTGCCTAAGGTAAGTTATTAAGCAAACTCAAGAGTTTATGGTTGATTTAAAAAAATGAGAATACAGTGATTGTTTAAAAAAAATGCATGTGGGGTTAAAAACTGAATCCTCAGACTGTAGAGAAATAAAATAAGGGATTTACTGACTAGTGAGAAAGAAGTAATGGGATAGCTAAATGCCCAAAGTTCATATTAGTAGGCATGCTGAGATTCATAAGAGAGTACTCAGGGAGTTGTGGTATTTTCTGCATAATTAAGAAAAAAGAGAATACAGTATTTAACTGTCTGTATAGCTTAAGTGGAATAAACATTAAAAGGCGCAGAGAAATGTAGTTACCCATTTTAGTCTGAATTTGGGCAGGGTGGCACCTTAGAGATTAACTCATTTGAAAAGGCATAAACTTTCATAGGTGACAGCTTAGTTTGTCAGATGCTGGCTGATTAAATTGGCTGTCGCTTACAAAAACTTATGTTTTCCTGCACAAATTAGTCTCGAAGGTGCCACCCTGCCCTGCTTTCTGTCTAAAAAGAATAGCATAAACATCTCCACTATCCATTCTAATATCCAAGCTAATGCTGATTTTTTTTCTCCCTTTTTGTATACATTACATTGCAAAACTTACTGTAGGGCTTTTATTATCTCTTCTCTGTGCCATGGATGCGCTAACTGATATTTAGGTGAAGTGAGAAGTTAGATCTCTTTGGAAGAGACGATTCTTGCATGCATTTTAGAATGTTTATGATGAATTGGGTGTCAGCTCTCTATTTCAGGGTTGTTCCTTTTGGAATCTTGATCCAAAGGTTATCCCATTTAGTGGAATTTTTTTCTATCTTTTGGTTTAGCCACTTGTGATCTCTTGTTGTTTGACAAATTAGTAGGAAGGCAGGGCCAGATGTGGCTAAATCCTTTTAAAACTGTTCTGTGTGACTGACTTCCCACCTACTTATTCATAAAGTTTTGTCAGTTGCACATGGCATGGTGGATGAGAAGAAAAAATCAACATTTATTGATCCTCTCAAGAGGCTGAACTAATAGTAACTAATGGTCACACGTGAGAAATTGTCTTTACATAACTGACTTGAAACTGATTTCCCTTGATGTTTTTCTTCAATGTCTGCTTTGGCTGGTTTTCACAAATATATTCCATAATGTTGCATTTTTTGGAGGTGTTATGAAATTAGTAAATAAAGCTAACAAAAATAGTTTATTTACAGGGTTTTTGTTTTTTTCTTTTTATGAATAGTATTTGGCACATTAGGAGTTAGTAGTTTTCTGAACTGGGAAGTATTTTAAATTCAGTACCGGAACTACCTTGAGACAGATGAGGAAATTGTTTTATTAGTTGCAACATCTCTAAAAGAACAGTGGATGGCAGTGTTCAGATAATCTTTAGAACAGCTAAGTCATGAACACTTGAAAAAACAAAAGCTTGCTCATAGATTTGTATTGGGCTTTTATCTTTTGGTAGTTATTACTGTGATTCAGCAGAAAAGTATATGGAAATTAAACAGCCATTTTTAATGATTTTATAATATATGCTAAGTGCAGGCAAATTAAACATTTAAAAGCAGAAATATTCTAAATACAGAGACTTGACTCCAAATCATCCATTATGTAATGAATATATCGGAGATACTAAGCAGCTGCAATTGGTATTGAGGCTAGGAGTTTTAGAAGAATGACAGACAGTGTAGTGTATGGTATATTTCTGTGTGGAATTAACAGCTAATATAGTCTTTTTTGTGAATTTATAAATGTAGGAGCAAGCTTTTATTTTTTTTCTAACCTCTTTCCAGAATACACAATTTTATACTGTAGCATTTATTAGGTGGTTGGTTTATGCAAAATTCAACAAGTTTCATTTATAAATTTAAAACATTTTTATGAAGTCATTTTACTCCAGGTCAGAAATTGCAGTTTTGAATGAATACTAAGGAATTTCTTCTTGTTGTTTAATTCTTGTGTGAATTTTCCAGTGAATATAGATATATGGTCTCTGAATAATGCAAACAGGTAAGATGCCATAAAAAGAAAAAAGTATTTTATCAAGTGGGCTTTATAATATAAATGTGAAAGCAAAGCTCAAATAGCTTTTCACCAGTCTGCAAATACTGGTTTCGCATTACTACGTAATTTATATTCTGGTGGGGTTAACATTAAATATTTCATGTTGTCAAATAATATTTTTAGAAGTCACTTTACAGCTTGTCAAAACTAGACTTTAGTCATGTCATAAAACTTCTGAGTAAATATGATAAAGGTTTTCACATTTCTAAAAGTGATAATATAGACAGGAACACAACAATTATTGCTGCTCATTCAACTTTTTAATGTTGATGTGTTCTGTGCAATTTCTATTGTTTACATGCTTTTTGAAAATGCAAACAGTAACAATAATTAATTTTGTGATTAACTTTGTGATTAACTGTTGCTAGTAACATGGCATTTTTCAAAATAGAAAATGTAAATGAACATTCCAAATAGCAACATCTTGAATGAGGTATTGAACCACTTGAATTCTGCTCTCTTTATGATGTCATCAGAACCACAAAATATGTCAGGTAGAGGTGTCAAACATTCCGTTTTAATTATGGTCGGTGTCACAAAATATATATAGGACATGCCTAAATCCTTAGTGAGTACCCTCACAGATGTGCAAGGAAGGTTTGCACAAAGATCTGTTTAGAATGTGGCCCGATACATAACTAAACAAACCATTTAGCTATCTATATATTCTAATTTGTTCAGTGTTGAATTGTTGCATTCATTATCACCTAAGGAGTGACACCTTATGTATCATCTCCCTATTGTATTTCCTTACCAAGTAGCAAGTCCCAGTTTCCTCCTCTGTTCTTGTTCTGTTTGCTGACTTGTAAAGAATGAAAAAATTAATCATGACATTTCGCATACAAATTAGGTTAATAGAAAGCTGTGGAGTTCACATGGCTGAGTCACTGTTTTATGATGTCTGCAGGCTTGAAGTTGCAATATTGCATCAGTTGAAGCTTGTTTTACAATCAAAGGGTATATTGACTCTGCCAAGAAGCAGGGTAAATTAACCCAACACGGAGTCTCTTGATTTTGTGACGAGACTACTTCTGCTAGTGGGCGGGGGTTTTTTGAGGTTGGCTGCTCAGTTTGTTTTGTTTTTTTCAAAAGAG